AAAAAGACAGCATCTCCAACAAATGGTGCTGGTCTACCTGGATGTCTACATTAAAAAAATGCAAATAGATTCATACTTATGAACCTGAATTAAAGTAAAGTCAAAGGTCCCAACAAAACACCAGACACACTAAATGTATTAAAAGAAAAATTGGGAAAGGAACTTGATCTCATTGGCACAGGAGACCACTTCCTGAACAGAACAGAAAACACTCAGGCCCTAAGACCAACAATTAAAAATGGGGCCTAATGAAACTGAGATGCTTCTGTAAAGAAAAGAACCCTATCCATAGAACAAAATGACAGCATAGAGACTTGGAGAAAGTCTTCACCAACCGTACATCTGACAGGGAGCTAATATCCAAAAATCAAAAATTACTCAAGAAATTTAGTACCAACAAACCCAATAATCCAATTTTAAATATCATGCAGATCTAAACAGAGAATAATCAACAGAAGAATACTGAATTGCTGAGAAACACTTAAAGAAATGCTCATTACCCTTAGTCAACAGATAAATGCAAATTAAAATAACTCTGAAATTCCATCTTACATCCATCAGAATGGCTAAAATAAAAAAAAAACACAAAAAAAAAATAAAAACCTAGAGTAAATATTTTGGCGAGATTGTGGAGAAAGGAAAACACTCTTCCATTGCTGGTGGGAGTGCAAACTTGAACAACCACTTTTGAAATGCATCTAGTACTGCTTCAGAAAATTGGGAACAGCATTATTTGAATGCCCAGCTACGCTACTACTGAGCATAAACTCAAAAGATGCTCCACCACACAACAAAGACATTTGCTCAACTATGTTCATAGTGGCTTTATTCCTAATAGCCAGAAACTGGAAACAACCCAGATGACCCTGAACTTAAGAATCACTACACATAAAGATGCTAAGCAAGAAGGAGGACCCTGGGTAAGATGATCAGTCCTCATTTAGAAAGGCAAATTGGAGAGATAGTAGAAGAGAGGAAAAAAAAAAAAACAGGGAGGGAAAAGGAGAGGAGTCCGCCATAGAGGGCCTCTGAAATATTCTGCCCAGCAGGGTATTGAAGCATATGCTGAGACTCATAGCCAAAGTTTGGGCAGGTTGTAGGGAATCTTGTGAAAGACTGTTCATAGGTTCTGAGATTATGCATTATTCTCTAGTCTCTTATTTTCTTCCTTCCCAGTCTCACTGCCCTGGTCTACACTCTACTGCCTTACCAGAACATTGACCTACACTGACACAGCACCATCCCTCCCAGTCTTTTGGGGGTAATGTTTTCTGTAGAGCATTTGGTTTGTATAAATGCTACAGTGCTTGGTAATCTGAACGGTTTGATGTCAGTGAGAAGTCTCTTTAGCTCAGAACATTTATTTCGCATGTTCCTCTAGTAGGCATCACCTCCCTATGACAAATACGAATGTTCTATGCTTAAAATGGATGCAATCTTACAGGGATTGTGTTATGGCAGGCTTGAATCCTTTAGGAGAATTCTATATTAAAGACAATGCAAACCTCTGTTGACTATACATATCATTATTGACTATGCAATATCACTGACTTTTAAGAACACCTTCCTGTCTCCTCCAACTTGTAAGCAGGGAATGGCCAGAAAGCAAGGGACCATCCACTTCAGGCCACTTGTTGAATGAGAAGCAACAATGTACTAGGAATACATCTGCCTAGTGGCTGTAAGACCTAGTGGCTTCAAGGCCTTTTCTGATACCTGCTACATCACTTCAGATACTAAGTACCTACTTCAACAGGTAAAGGTGGCTGAGACATTTCTTTTTTTTTTTTTAATTACACTTCATTCACTTTTTAGACCCCCCCCCGTGGTCCCCTCTCTCTTCCCATCCCAATCCCTCTCTTCCTCCACCCTCTGCATGCATGCCCCTCCCCAAGTCCACTGATAGGGGAGGACTTCTTTCCCTTCCTTCTGATCCTAGTCAATTAGGTCTCATCAGGAGTGGCTGCATTGTCTTCTTCTGTGGCCTGGTAATGGTGCTTCCCACTCAGGGGGAGGTAATTAAAGAGCAGGCCAATCAGTTCATGTCAGAGACAGTCCCTGTTCCTATCACAATGGAACCCACTTGGATATTGAAATGCCATGGGCTACATCTGGTCTTAAGTTATCTCCATGCATAGTCCTTGGTTGGAATAGCAGTCTCAGGAAAGACCCCTGGGCTCAGATTTTTTGGTTCTGTAGCTCTCCTTGTGGAGTTCCTGTCCTCTCCAGATCTTACTGTTTCCCATTTCTTTCCTAAGATTCCCTGCACTCTGCCCAAAGGTTGCCCATAAGTCTCAGTATCTACATTGATAGTCTGCGGGCCATAGCCTTTCAGAGGTCCTCTGTGTCATGCTCCTGACTTGTTCCCTCTTTTCTCCTTCTTCTGATGTGCAGCCTCTTTGCCTTTCTGGATAGGAATTGAGCATTTTAGCAAGAGTCCTTCCTCTTAATTAGTTTCTTTAGGTGTACAGATTTTAGTAGGTTTATCCTATATTATATGTCTATATGAGTGAGTATATATCGTGTGCATCTTTCTTCTCCTGGGATAGCTCACTCAGGATGATCTTTTCCAGATCCCACCATTTACCTGCAAATTTCATGATTTCCTTGTTTTGTTTTGTTTTGTTTTTTTATTGCTGAGTAATATTCCATTGTGTAGATATACCACAATTTGTGCATCCATTCCTCTGGGCTGTTTTCAGCTTCTGGCTATTACAAACAAGGCTGCTAAAAACATGGTTGGGCAAATGTTCTTATTGTGTGCTTGAGAATCTTTTGGATATATGCCTAGGAGTGGTATAGCTGGATCTTGAGGAAGCGCTATTTCTAGTTGTCTGAGAAAGCTCCAGATTGCTTTCCAGAGTGGTTGTACAAGTTTACATTCCCACCAGCAGTGGAGGAGGGTTCCCCTTTCTCCACAACCTCTCCAGCATGTGTTGTCTCTTGAGTTTTTGATCTTAGCCATTCTGATGGGTGTAAGGTGAAATCTTAGGGTCATTTTGATTTGCATCTCCCTGATGGTTAATGAGGCTGAGTATTTATTTAAGAGTTTTTCTGCCATTTGATATTCCTTTGCAGAGAATTCTCTGTTTAACTCTGTACCCCATTTTTTAATTGGATTACTTGATTTTTTGCTGTTTAACTTTTTTTAGTTCTTTATATATACTGGATATTAGCCCTCTGTCAGATATTAGATTGGTGAAGATCTTTTCCCAATCTGTAGGCTGCCGTTTTGTTTTGAGGACAGTGTCCTTTGCTTTACAGAAGCTTTTCAGTTTCATGTGGTCCCATTTATTGATTGTTGCTCTTAGAGCCTGTGCTGTTGGTGTTCTGTTCAGGAAGTTGTCTTCTATGGCAATGAGTTCAAGGGCATTCCCCACTTTTTCTTCTAAGTGGTTTAGTGTATCTGGTTTCATGTTGAGGTCTTTGATCAACTTGCACTTTGGTTTTGTGCAGAGTGATAAGAATGGATTTATTTGCATTTTTCTACATGCAGACTTCCAGTTAGACAAGCACCATTGGTTGAAGATGCTGTCTTTTTTACAGTGAATGGATTTGGCATCTTTGTCAAAAATCAGGTGTCCATAAGTGTGTGGATTTATGTCAGGGTCTTCTATTCGATTCCATTGATCCAACAGTCTGTTTCTATGCCAGTACCATGCAGTTTTTAGTATTGTTGCTCTATAGTACAGCTTGAGATCAGGGATGGAGATACCTCCTGAAGACATTGGGCTCACTGCCCCAGTGTTCCACTGCAATAGCTGAGATTCCTGCCCAGAACACGCCACAGATTTCATGGCCATATTCTAATCGGTGGCCTCCTGAGTGATCTCTGCCAGACTCCCCATTACCTGTGCACACTGCAGTGTGGATCCCTCCAGCTAGCATGGTGGCGGGACTGTTTCCTGTGGGAGGAACATTGCAGGAAGTTTCATTCTGTGGGTAGCAGATTTCAGAACCTTAGGAAGAATCTATGTTGGTTCATAATGGTTCACCCTGATGAGGGCAACTTAAGGAAAATCAGCATGGACATTAAAAACTGGTTTTGATCTGCATTTTTCCCTGACTAAGATTTTTTTTTAATATTTCAATGTTCCTGTCTATGCTTAAAGGGATTTTTTTTTGAAAAATACATACTTGACCTGTTCTATTTCTCATCAGTTTAATTTGATAAACTCCTTTTATTCTGATGGCTCTCAGCATTTCCATTAACTGTGCCAAATTGCGTTGAATAAAGCATCTAGCACTTCTTTTCCATTTTGCTCATTTCTCCTTTCTTTCCAACAACACTTGGTTTAGTTTAGGTTGATATAATGAAAAGTCTTGATGATTTATTCAATTATTCATTGTTATCAATTTCTTTGATTCATTTAAAGTTTTTTTAATTTTATTTTTTTATTAATTACAGTTTATTCACCTTGTATCCCAATTGTAGCCCCCTTCCCATCCCCTGTGTATCTCACCCTCCCTCCCTCTTCTTCTCCTGTGCCCCTCTCCCAGTCTAATGATTAGGAAGGTCTTCCACTCTTTCCATTTGACCCTAGTCTATCAAGTGTCATCAGTCCTGACTTCATTGTCTTCCTCTGTGGACTGATAAGTATTCTCCCCCTTCAGGTGGAGGTGATCAAAGAGCCATCCTATGACTTCATGCAATAATCACTGATGTATAAATATATCTGAAGTATATTTGCTTTTGGTTATTTGATTGAGTTCTTCAGTATATAACCAGTTGGAAAGGAAATTACTAATTGAATATAACTGAAGGATGGAAAGGAGTGTGGGATGCATTTCCTAAAATAGGGTTAGGACTTGGAGCTCAGCATTCTGCTGTCTGACCCTGGTGTCCTCTACTTCCTTCTTCTGGAGCTCAACTAGGTCCTTATTTAAGAAAGACTCTGTTCATGAATATGCAAATTATGTGAGTCAATGGTGGTAAGTACAGGGCTGTGAACTCCCCCAAAACAACAAATGATCAGTGTTCTCTGCAGAGTCATTGGCTACACTGTCCCTCAGGATGGAATGGAGCTGGGTCATCCTCTTCCTCCTGTCAGTAACTACAGGTAAGGGACTCACCAGTTGCAAACCTGAAGAGGAGACAGGGACTGATAGGACAATGCCATATTCTGTTCTTTTCCCTTCACAGGCATCCACCCCCAGGTCCAGCTGCTGCAATCTGAGGCTGAGCTGGGGAGACCTGGGACCTCAGTGAAGCTGTCCTGCCAGGTTTCTGGCTACACCTTCACTGATAATGCTGTGCACTGGGTGAAGCACAGGCTTGGACAGAGGCTGGAGTGGATTGCATACATTTATCCTGGAAGTGGTAGTACTACCTTCAATGAGAAGTTCCAGGGCAAGGCCACACTGACTGCAGACACATCCTCCAGCACAGCCTACATGGAGCTCCGCAGCCTGATATCTGAGGACTCTGCGGTCTATTACTGTGCAAGACACAGTGCTGCAACCACATCCTGAGTGTGTCAGAAAACCTGGAGGAAGAGGTGTTTTCTTGAGACTAAGAGAACAGAGAAGATTTGTCTGAAGACTTGTTCAGAATAATAATTTTTAGCATCCATTTTTCTCTCTGCTCCTCACAGTCCTTTTGTCCCTTTGTCAGTTTGGCACAAGGACATCTACAAATTCAGTGATGTTGATTTATGATGCCTTTACACCATACCTTGTAATTTTCTTCACCAGTGACCACCTCCACTGACATGTTTCTGCTTTAATAAAATAATAAAAAGTGAAAACTGTGATGATGCATGATAAAAATATCTCTGGGTTATGAGAGACCAGAACATTTGTTGGAATAGCTTGAAATAATAATACACATTTGACCTGCAAAAGCCAAATCACCAACATTTGGGCAAACAAAAATTGCTTTCATAGTCTCAGGTCTTAAGAGAAAGAGACCTCAAGGTGTGTTGTTCACTGTGTGTTTCAGCAGTCTCTTATACTGTAAAAGATATTTACATCAGAATGCACTGCCACATATCCATAATTCCTACATGTTGCTCAAGTATTGTCAAACCTTTCCATAGAACTCGATTATCCACTCAATGTATGTACATGTTAATTGAGATAGCTTCTAAAATAATACATGTCTTTGGTCACCTATTCCCTTCCTTCTGAGCTGCAGTAATCTGCCCCACATTCTCAAGCCTTTACAGAACACCAACCTACACTCAAGCAGCATCAACTTTCACAGTCCATTGCACACTCTGTGTCTCCCTTTTTCTACAAAGCACTCGTTTCAGATAATGGATGAATAACAACGAGCAGAGACACAATCTCAGGGGTTTGATCCAGTCAGAAGTCTCTTTACCTCAGGACATTAACATTGCATGTTCCTACAGCAGAATTCCCTCCCTGTGAAAATCTTCAGGTTATGTGCTTAATTGCATCCCATGGGGAATGTGCAGGTATCAATCTCCTAGTCCAATTCTTTATTAGAGATTTTGCAAATCTATTTTATTGAATTTATAATGCTGTACAAAATACCAGTTAGTTTATAACAAACAGTCCTATCTCTTGCGCCAGGAAAGCAGAGTTTGACCAGAACACAGGGGAATCCTCCAGTTCTGACCTCATAATTGAATGCAATTCTCCTCTGTTAATGGAAGGCATCTGTTAAGTTGCTGTGAGACCTTGACTCAAACTTGTCTGATATCTGCTGCAGAAGTCATTTTCAAGTACCCAGATACTTCACAGTGAATGAAGAAGATATCTGTACTGAGTGTTCTGAATGTCTAAACAACCCAACAGAGAATCCATGGCGAAGATGTACTGCTGAAATTTTTCTTTAAAATCACAGATTATTTGTTTCCTCATGCCAAGAAAAATCAAATAGCTCAGTCCTCTCTAACACCAAGCCTTTGAGAGCTACCTTTGCATGTCACTACCCATAGGTGTTATAAATCATAATGTTTCCTGAAAGTATAGGTGAGATAATTCATATTCTGCTTTCAAGGGTAACATCATGATTTTCATTTCTGTTGCTTTTAGGCAAAAACACAGTCCCTGTTTTCTTGGAATGTGGATCATGTGCCTTATGCCCTCCCTGAGGAACTAGTGAATTCTGCTAAGTTCTGGATAAACGGTATTATCCTCAGATGTATACTCATTGGTAAGCCCCATCATCCCATAGACTTACTCTCATTAGATACTCCATGATATAATCTACTTATATAGATGTCCAAGGTTAAACTCAATGAGTCACAAAAGAATGTGGTAAACACACAAAAGACTCTTATGTATCAAACGGAAGCTTGACAGTAGTAGGAGGTAGGTAAGACAGGAGAGAGTCATTAGAGTGTACTCTATACATGTGTGAAACTGTCAAAACCAAATTCAATTAATAAAACAACGAAAAAATGTACAACTAAATATTTTTCTCTTTTCAAAGCGAATTCTGAGATATTTTCTTCCTTTTTTTTTTTTTTTTTAAGAAATTCTCTTATGAGGATGATGCTCTGGGGTATTTGCCTCCCTCCCTGGTATTGTGTCTAAAACTCTGGACAGTTAGAGCTTTTTCTTGGTCCCTGTGAGCAGAATCTGAACAAACTGTATATAGTCTCAGAATGCCTGCAGGTCTACTTGGTGATGATGGCTCCTGACTTTTGGGAAGTGAGAGTCTCCTCCAAGCCACACACTCTGAGAAAGAGTCTCCATGCCCTGAGAGAAAATAGGATAAAGTTCTGCAGAACATGTGGCACTATCACTGAGGAGTCCATCAGTATGTGAGTGCACACATTCAAGATCCAGGTCACCCTGAGGCTGAGCTTTGCTATCACTGCAGACACAGCCTTGCAGTGGACACAGTGACCAAGTTTCCTATGTGCTCAGGAGCAACTGCATGTGAGGATGCTATGGACCAGCAGAGGGTGCTAGAGAGCACAGTTTCACCAGGGAAGAAAAAGTTGTAGGTGCAGAGACACATCTGGAGAGTGAGGCAGTCCCAGGAGACTGTAAGGTTTCCTCTGCTGACCTCTATAAAGTCAGAGACCATATAATCCCTGCGATGTAGGTACTGTAACAAGACTACAAAGTGAGCTCAATAAGAAGTGTTTGTTAAGAAATACTGCACAGGTGTGTTTTGTTAACTACATATGAACCTTATTGGAAAGACAAACATCAATGACATATACATACAGAACAGAGCTACACATTTTCAAACATCATCATCACCATCAGCAGCATCTGTAACTCTGTAACTTTTTTTTCACTGACAGAAGGGTTTTCCTCAGCTGGAATACATGAGTTTGACCTGGGAGTCAAGTCCTTGATGTTCTGTCCACAGTGTTGAGCCCATGAATCTCTGCTGGGCAAGTGTAGGAGACCTGGATCCAAGGTGTCTTCCACTGCCATGTAAAGCCACCACTCAGGGAAAGGAGAGCAGCAGAAGCTGAACATATTTGCCTAGTCTGGCTTCAAATAAAATTTGGTTTTCATCATTAATTTTTTTTTGCATATGTTTAAGGCTTTTATCAAATATCAAGCTATTATATAATTTTGTGACTCATGAAAACAGATTAGAAGACCGCATGAATTACAGACTGTCCCTGTGGAGACCCAGATCATGAAATTAAAGAAGTGACATCTCACACCCATGCCACACTACTGCCCTTACACACGAATTTAGACAATGTTCCCTACACCATCATGGATGCAACAGCCCCTTTATCTGTCTACAGCCCTCTGCTCCTCACCTGGGGTCAGCTTCATCACTGTCCTGTCCTGTAATGAGAGTCCTTCAGTGAGATGTGATGTCCAGGTTCCCCACATCATCCTAGTGTTTACATTTACCCCAGGACTCTATCTGGTTAAGAACCAGCTCCAATGTTGGGTTTTAGAATTTCAGCTCTCTGTGGAGATTCCTGAAATTAATGGTGATTTCATATTCTCTTTATTTCCTCAAACCTTTAACCCTTTTGAGATTCCATCCTGACTCTGGGAGCAGAGTCAGGGAGACATGTAAAGTTTACATGACAGGTAAATGTTTGTCTGGTTGCTGCTCTGTTCCGTGCATATCTTGAATCCCATTACTCACAGCATCAATATATAACATCTTCTCCTCACATAAATGGAAAATAGTACCATCATTTGCAATCCAGTGCTTGAGAACTACTGAAGTTTGAGTTGATAATTCCATTTTACCCCATGACTGTTTCCACTGCAGAGCTTTTCACTTCAAATGTCACTGTGATAAACAGGAAAACCCAGTCATGCCAACTGCCCTGATTGGAAACACGTTAAATAAACTCTCTCCTTGAGTATATCTTAGATATGGAATTTTGGACAGTATAAAACCATTCCGTGAAAATTTCTGAATAAATAAGTTATTCTCTTCCAAATTTCCCAGAATATTTTCTAATTTTTGAGATCTCATTGGCACAGTGTTTAACAAAATATTTACATAACATTGTTTATTTGAGCTTATACACATTAATTTTTGTACCCCATTGTCCACACTTACATGCACATGTTTAGGCTCAGACTCATAAGTACCCAGACACATCTGAAAACTGTAGGAAAAATGTAAACCTCGATTGTATCTCAATCAAAGATTTAAGAGGACATCACACTTTTTTCTCTCCATGGACACTGAAATGGCACATGCAAGTTCCTGCTGAAATGTGATGTTCTCTCTTGTGAAGAACCTGTTGCCTGCCTTTCTAATATTCAGGAACCAGGAGTCTTGTTTCTCTGGCCCTTGTTCCCTCTACCAAACCTGGCAGCTTAGCCAGGTACCAAGATCATTTCCTGATGCTTTGCTACTTGTGGATCCTTCCTCCTGCCTGTCTTTGCAGAGGATATTTGCGATGTTATTTGAAACTCACGGAAAGGATTTCAGATGTTTTCTTATTTTAGGAAACATAATTTAATCCTAGATGGAAAGGCATTGCACTGTGGACACATGGCACATTCTCTTACACTATACAAGAAGTGTGCAATCTCCATACCTATTTTTGTGATAGAAAATATGTACTGAAAAGTTTCACACAGGAGCCAGCTCTGGCTCCACGCACAGAGCATCATGAAGGCAGGAGAAAAGCAATGCTCTTAGCTCTTCATGAGTTCTCCATGCAAAATCACAGGGTGATGATCCCTGGATTAGTGGACAGGTCAGGACCCTTCCTGTTCCAGTGAGGGTCTCTCTCAGTCCTGCTCCTACTCAGCACTCCCCACAAGTGTTTATTCTGAGGACTCTGGTCTCCATTAGCCACTCTCTATGGGAGCAGAGGTGAGCTCCCTGAGGGCTCCTGTGCTTCCCATCACAGACAGGCTCCTCCTGGTCCTGAATCTTAAGTCCACCCTCAGGGCCAGCACCTGCTGAGGAATGCAAATCTCCCCTGGCTCCACCCATCCCTGGGTTGAAAAGCCAAAGCTGGCCCTGGGTGCTCACTGGTGTGCAGCCATGGCCAGGCTTGCTTCCTCCTTGCTGCTGCTGCTTGTCCCTGCATGTGAGTGCCAAG